GGGTGGGCCTCTATTCTCGTCCCGGCCGGTAGCACCTTACTCGCCGGGGGCGGGGGCGACCACCCGTCTTCCCCCTCGAGCCTCGGCAGGGGGGCAGGGGCATGGGAAAGAGGGGCGGGGAGGGGGCCAAGAGAGTAGTGCGTTTTGTGGGTCCGTGGGTCAGTCGTTGCGAAGGGAAGGGCCGGTGGTGTCGTTCGCGTGTAGAGCATCTCTCCCCCGCCGTCGTAGCCACAGCCCGCGAGCCGCGTCGTCCCCGCCCCGCCCGGTGAATGCCGACCCCCGTCGAGAGCAAGCCGCAACCCCCCTTCCGCAGCCGCCCCGTCAAGAGCCCCCCGGAGGACAAAGTGAGTTGCCCCCTTCCCCCACCGCGCCCCGCGGCTCCAGCACGTGTGCGGCGAGGGGGCCCCCGCAGGCCAGGCCCCTCTGCACACTCCCCGGTGGTTCTATTTCTACCGCCCCATCTGACCCACTCACGCGGCTAACCGCCTCCTTATGACAAAAACTGTCCGTCCGGTAAAAAGGCGCGCAGTCCAGCTCATTTTCAACCATGGCTGATGCAGAAACACGGTGGAAATACTGAAGGGATTGTGGCCAAAAGTAGTGACGAATAACTTGAGATCGGAGCGGAAATCTTTACTTTCGGGTACCGAAGACCACTATGAGGCCGTCTAAAAACGAAAACTCGCCCTCGCCGGCCCAGCATTTACCTGCAGCTGCGAGTGCGTCGAGCTCCCGCCCGCTGCTGCGGGTGCGAGGAGACGCCCGGCTGGCGTCCGTCGCGCAATGTCCAGCGTCCCGACCGACTGGGCTCAGATCAGATTGATGGACCCAGATCTGGCCTTCCCCGCCCCGCGCGTCTGGTCCGGCCCGGCCCGGTGGTGTCTAACCCGTCGCCGTAATTATTCAGGATGCGAGCCGACGAGAGTGAAAGGAGAGAGAGAGAGAGGGAAAGACACAGAGGGGGAGCTCCGGTTGGCGCCCATCCTATCCTCCCTCTGGTTGATTAGCTCCCGCTGGGCGGGCGGGGCGTTCTCGTTTCCCCTGCGCCGTCGCTGGCGACACCGGCAAGCCGGCTTCTCCTAGTATACTGCTTGAGAGATAGAAAGAGCGACAGGGGGTGGGGAAGGGGTGTAAACAAGTTTCCGTCGAGTATAGGAAATGGTCGCGTCCCTTTACGCACGGGTATTCCAAGGTGTGTTGATATACCTGCTCGGCCGGGCTTGGCTGCTCCGTCGTTATAATTTCTTGAAGGAGTCGAAGGTGCCTAGGCGACACCCGGGAGGGTGTCTCTACAAACATGTCGCACCGTCACCGAGCCTCCTCGCCCTGCTCCTCCCCTTCTCGGGCCTTCCGTTTTCTTCTCTAGTTTTTTTTAAATGGTTTATTGAGGTCGGAAGCTTGTTTTATTTGGATTATACACACACAGTTTGTATCCCGTTGGCCGGTAGGCTTGCTTATTATTTAGGGGTGCGAAAGTTGGTGGGGAGGTTGGGGTTGGGGGTAATTTTGCGGTGAATGGTGTCATTGATCGCGTGCTACAGCTCAAGTACTCTAATTCACCAGGGCCAGGGGGAGAGAAAAGTGCACAGTCCCGTAGGGCGCGACGCGATAAGACTTACCTTTCTCCGGCCTGAGCGCCTGCGCAGCGGTGGGTGGGCCACCCGCTCCACTCGGCTGCGCTACTTCGTGGGGAGGTTGCCTATCCGCCGGGCGCCCGGTTGACGTCCCGACTGCCTGCTTGGCGCGCACTCCCCGGCTGTCATCCGTGCGGGCTGCTCGGCGCGGACCTCAAGAGGGAAATACTTTGTCGGTGACCTCAGTGACTGATGGGACTGCGCGGCGCGGTGGGAGGGGAGGCGGGGGGCCCTGGCCGGGCGCCAGGCGGCCCTGTCAGCGGGAATGCGGCACGAGCAGAGAGCGCACTCGGAAAAACCTCCCGACTGCATCGGCCGCTCATCGGTGAGGTAACCCGATAGACGTGGAGAAGATAGTCGGGCGTTCACCCGGGGATGTAAATATGAGGCAACTTGTAATCTGGAGTAAATATCCGAGTTGATGCGAAAGTATTCCGAAGGTAATCTGGAATCTGGCTTTCGATTCGCCAACTCAGTGGCAGTGGCCCATCTCTCTCGTCCACACCGCTTCATGTTTCTCGCCCACTCGAGCCCCCTCCCTCACCCTTCCCTCTTTCTTTTCCCCTCCCGTCCGTACGAGGGCCGCGCACACATTGTTCTACGGAGAGGTGGTGGTGTTAAATGAGCCATCGCCGGTCAGCCTCTGCCAAGCTAAAGGCTGTGGGTACGGTCGCGCGTGACTCCGAGTGCCTTGTTCCAGATGGCCGAGCCCCAGGTCGCCGCCCCCGCCGCCGACGAGGAGCCCGCGGAGAGGCCGCCGCACGTACCCCTGCCGCCGCTGGACCAAGGTCTGTAAAAATAAATAACGCAAAGCGTATTTCTAAAGGTGTGCCCACGGCGGCCGCAGCTACCCTCACTAGTTTTATGCTTTCAAACGCTCGTTTCTCGATATTTTTCCAGACCTCCTGGCCATGCCGCCGGAGGAGTACTGGGTCTCCGACCTGCGCTGGATCGTGCCGCAGCAGCTGGCTGTGGTGCGCGCGCCGAGAAACAGGGAGCACCTGGAGGCGCTGGTGCGCGAGAACATCGTGCACCTCGTCACCCTGTCCCCGGACGCCATGCCCAAGCCCGAGGACTTCCCCAACAAGATCAAGTCCACCGTCATCCCCGTCGAGGAGTTCGACATGCCCACGGACGAGGCCGTGAACCAGTTCATTGAACTCTGCGAGAAGGCGCAGCAAAAGAAGGAGGTGGGTCGGCCAGTCGCGCAATAAGGTGGTCCCCGAATGCGAAACGAGGTCGAAAACGACGCGCTGAAAGTGAAAATGACGTTGAATATGTTCTTGGGACACAATGTCATGTTCACTCACTTTCCAACCGGGGCGCTCGTCCAAAAAGTATGTCCATTTGTCTCGGATTCATTCGGGAAAAAATGACGGGCGCTAGGCGCCTGCGAGATTCGGGGTAGGCCACCCCGCAATGCACGCGTGCACCGCGGGCGAGATGTTGCCTACCTACCAGGCGCCCTTAGAGCTTGCAGGGGTTGTACTTTGCCGGCTAGTTACAGCGAGTGACGGACCTACTTTCTGGATGATCCCAGCAGGCCTGCGCTGTGTCGCTCATTCTCGCGACTGACTCACCACCCTTTCTCTCTCTCTGCGTTTGCAGGCCGTGTGCGTTCACTGCAGACAGGGCCGCGGGCGCGCGGGCGCGTTCGCCGCCTGCTGGATCGTGCGCTTCCAGGGCAAGATCCCCGAGGCCGCCATCTCCGCCGTGCGGATGCTGCGGCCGGGTGCCCTGGAGACCCTCGGACAGGAGCGCGCCGTGAAGCGGCTGCACGACAGGCTCAAGAAGAACCCGCCGGCCAAGTAGTCCCCCCCCCCTCCCTCCTCTCGTCCCCATCACCGCAGCCCTGCACCGGCACGGCGGCGGCTCCCGCCCACTCAGTTGGCAGTGCCGCTTACAGTACTCGGGGGGTAAAGTCTCAAGATTTGAGGGATTTTGTTTTGGCAGAGGTTCCCGCTGCTCGTGTCCTTGTGTCCTCTGATGTCCTGTTTCGAAATGTGATGTACGAAGCTTGTGACCCGAAGCCGCTGGCATTAGTTTTCGGAAAAGTTGAAGTTGTTTTGCTATCTTGTCTTCAGCAAAAAAGCAAAATCATATACAAACAAATGCCAAACATTTTAAACATTTTCATTGGCAAATAGTTTCCAGTGAAATTCGAGCACTGTTGTGTAGTTGTGATATAGTTGCATTTGTCACTTATTCCCACCCGCGCGTCAATTTTGCATCATGAATACACAAATTAGGTACGAAATATTCATCTTGGCATTTTAGTTTTGCCGTTTTGCAATGTTTCGTACGTCTCACTTTTACCCTACAAACTGTACAACATGAAAAGGCACTCTGTACCACCACCACCACCGGTCAATAAAATACTATTTTACATAAGCAGTCATACTTTTTCCACCCACCTCTATAGCTCAGCTCTCATCAAATAATTTGGATCTTATGTGCCATTTTAATGCGCGTTTTCTCAACATGGAAAGAGTCTATCTTTCCATTCAGTCAAATTGTGCGCCACTGTCGTTACACAGGAACTTGTGTCTATTTGCATTCCTCGTTTTTGTACCATGCTTTTTTTCACGATCAATAAAATTTTATCTCGAATGCACCTTTTCCTGGCACGGATTTTTTTGGACCTCAAAGAGGCTGCCTAGCACTCAACCAATAATAAAATACAACGTTTTCTTATAAAAACATTTATTTAAAAAGATTTGTTAAAACTTTCAACATGAAAAATAAACTTAACAAAACAGGTAAACAGTCGTTGTGGCGTACGAGGCCGGGCGGGGAGGAGGGCGATGGGCGGATGGAGTGTTATCGCCCCCGGTGGCCACGCTCGGTTCACGCCTGGCAGTGAGATCGGTGACTAGGGCGGGAGCTGGGGTTCGTGGGCTACTCCCAGCCGTGCTTGGGCTCCTCATGGTGCTGCGGAATGCAGATGCTCTTCCAGATGGGAACCTGCACCGACTTCCACTCGGGCACCTGCTCCTCTTTGGTCTCGGCCTCCTGGTAGCTCTTCCATTCATCCTTGAAGCTCTGCACCTTCTTGGTTACCCAGATGGTCTTCTTCTCCTTCTTCCAGATCTGCACCTTTTCTTCCTTGAACTCTTCCACCTTCTTGGTGACCCAGATCTGCTTCTTTTCCGTCTTCCAGATGGTAATCTTCTCCTCGTGGTAGTGCTCCTCCTTCTTGGTGATATACTCAGTCTTGTGTTCGGTCTTCCAGATCTGCTTGTACTCTGGCTTCCAGATGAGCTTCTTGTGCACCTGCTTCTTGTGGTGGTGGTCGTCTTCCCACCCGTCGTGCCCGTGCTCAACGGTTACCTTCCAGACGGGAACCCAGATCTTCTTCCAGGCGGGCACCTTAATTTCCTTGGTGATGGGTATCTTGACCTCCTTCCAGTAAGGCTTCTTGATGATCTTGTATTCGGGCACCTTGATCTCCTTCCAGGCGGGTACTTTTACTTCCTTCCAGACGGGTACCTTGACAGTCTTCCAGTCGGGGACCTCGATCTCCTTGTGGTCGGGTACCTGGATTTCATTCCACACGGGCACCTGAACCTTCTTCCACTTGGTCTTAAGCACCTGCTTCTTCACGGTCTTGTATTCTTGTTTCCACTCCGTCTTCCACTCGAGCTTCTTCTCCCACTTGCAGTGCTCGTGGTGACCGTGACCAATGTCCCCGCCGGTGGACTCAGCGCCCAGGTCAGCGCCGAGGTCGTGACCACCCCCGAGCTCGAGGCCTGCTTCGTGGCCGCCATAGTCACCGCCGCCGAGGCCGAGGTCACCGTGGCCACCCAGCCCAAGGTCGCCGCCTCCAAGGTCATGTCCGAGGTCGAGGACGTGGCTTGACGCGCCCTCTTGCTCCTCGCCGTGCAACGACTTCCAGCCGCCTACGTCCAGGTCCAGACTGCAACGAGAGATACAAATTTATTTGTGGGTCCTCCCTAACGATAACAAATTATACCGTAGTGATAAAAACACCTTCAGCCATACCTTTTCTTGGCGCGGCCGGAGGCTTCTCCAGTACTGTCCTCCTGGCCTGCAACGGCCTGCTGGCCCAAGGCGACGCCCTGGCCGGCATCGGCGGGGGCGAGGGCGAGGTCCACGGGGACGGCGATCGCGGACACACCCGCCACCACCGCCAGCGCCGCCTGCAACGCGACAAAAACAAGAGTCAGACAACGGATGAGATGATCAACTGGACGAGGAGGTCCTCGTCGTCGCGTCGCACGTGACGAGACGAGCTTCGAGCTCCCTTTCCCCACTAGTTGGGCCCCACCCCGCCCCACCAGCCCC